TGACTTCACTGTGTTGGTGGTCAGACTTCCCATACGCTTGGCAGCCGCAGCCTGCCAGCTGCCGTTACTGGTTAAGTGAATAACTGCCTGCAGCGAGGTGTTGGTATTCAGGCTGAGTGTTCCCAACAGGCTCTAATTATACCCCCTTTTCTGGTTTCTTGGCCCTTTTTCCATCAGCCATTATGGAAATGTTCCATTCCTTCAGCAGCCACCCAGACTCCTGTGATCTGGTGTAATGCTAGAGGGGAAAATGAGAGCATGYGGAAAGGAACATGCCAGAGAGCAAAAGTAGGGGCTGGAAATAACCCCAAAGGGCTCTGTTGTGTTTTTCCAGTGCCTGCAATAAGGGCTCACTACGAACTGCACATCGCAAGTCTCTGTGACACAAGCAGGGCATCCAACTGCAGCATAGCTGAGGCTTCATCTCGCAAATGGACAAGCCAAAAGACCCAGGGCGCTCTTGGTGTAGAGATTACACAAGAACCACCGTGACATAGGTGAGTATCTAGGGTTGAGTGCCTAGYGGAATCACAAAGCAAGGATAATAGATACCAACGCTGAAATCTGAACAGGCAGAATGTGGAGGGGGACCTGACTGACACCACTGTCATGGTTAAAGTACCCCTGAAGTCTTCAAGGAGTCTTTCAGTGCTTAGGTGTGGTCCTTGAGTCCAAACTCTAGAGAGATGCGTTGCAAAAGATGCCATGCTTTAGTGGTACAACATCATTCTCAACAGTTCTCCAGCCAAACTTAAAGCTTGGATAGAAGTGAGCTGGGTTGATGTCTAGTTAATGGATGTCTGGAAGGGGATTGATATCACAWGAATGAGTGACCCTAAAGCAGTTGCAACCACTACCCTGTTTGGAATACATTAATTCCTAAACTTTTTGGTATCATACATGTTCAGGCCAATGAGATTTTGCCACAGTCTCATAGGGAACCCTTATCCTCATGCAGATATTTTCTGCTTTTATCTCCATGTAAAAGAAAGACTGGCGTGTAAGCACACATACAGATGGATGGATCAAGTGGGCATCTGGACAAGGTCTCTYCTGTGGACGTTTATTGGATGTTTTCATTACCAGTTGAATGATGGTATAAGGAGGATGGTGAGTACCTCCAAGGACAGGGCAGATGATCTTSACAAATTGGAGATACTGCATGAAAAAAATCCTCCTGGTGACCAGTAGAAAGAGAGTTACCACCAGAGTACATCAAGCAGATTTCAATTATTCAGGTGTATTCAAGTATTCAATCAGATCTAGCCAAGCATCCAGTACAGCAACACTGTCAGGGTAATTTGTTCTGCCTTTTTCTCTAGCAGGGGTCCAGAGGTTTTCTTCAAAGTAGTTTAACAGAGTCTACCTCTCCAGCCCAGTGAGAGGCCATCTGGCATCTGATGCTCAAAACCACTCCAGTGGTGGCTCCTGTTTCCCAGTGTGCTTGCAAGGCTTTAAATGGGCCCAGAGCTCCTAAGCAATAGCACTCACCGGGCTTAAGAATTTTGCCTGCTTAAATTCTCTTGTTCTTTAAGCTTGGCTTGTTTTTTTTTTCATTATTCCCCATGCGTGCCATGGAGATGCCCATCTCTGCTAAGACAGTATTTCAAAGCAGTGAGGGAAAGTTGCCAGGTCCTTGGTTTCTGAGGGCGTAGGCACTGCTGGATGTCACATAGAGTTGTCCTGGCAGCCACCACAGCCAGTGACATCTCCCCTGGGATGCCCAAACCTTGTGGGAAAGGTAAGTGCTATGGACAGAGCTTGGCAGGGGCTGGTGTGCTATTTGTGGATCTACTCCATGAGCTATTAGGATTTTCTGGAAGGGGAATGGAGAAGGGTGGGAGTCCTACCTCTCCTGGGATTTGCAGCTGGAAACTGCCTATGGGAGGTATGTCCATGAGATTGGGGCCTGTCCTGGGGCTGGGAAGGGAGGCGGATGGGTGATGGGCATTGCCTTATGCCTTCAGATCAGCATCAAATGTCCTGGAGAGGAGCAAATGCTTTTTTCCTAATTTCGGGGGTCTCATGCATGATGGCCTGTCTTTGGTCAATCCCAGTCTCCTCCCTTCTTGCAGAGGGAAACTGCTGCCCAGAACAAGGCTAGGAGCTCATCTAAAGGTTCAAGAACCAGGCCAGCAGGATGTTGTTTTTGTGATTTTAGCCAAGGCTTTCAAATTGCATGTTGCATGACCCCAGCACTAGTTGCATTTCTGCGGCCTGTCAAATCCTCAGCTGGTTACAAATCTATCCTGATTTTTTTTTTTTTTTTTTTTTTTTTTTTTTTGCATACTCCAAAATAAACAGCATTTACCAGCTGCTCGGGCTAACGCTGAGTTATTGCTCCCAGGGCAAGAACAGATTCCCTGCCTCACATACCAGGGATCGCACCCAGGGAACAGCAGCCAGGCAGCTAACTTGGTCATGATTTATCCAGCCAGGAAGAGCTGCCAGGATGCAATGGGCCTTCAGTCTGGGCCTTCACTTCCTCTCTTGCAGCAGAGGGAAAGGGCAGAAGCAGCAGGCCGCTTGGCAAGGGATTTGGCTGATGGATGGATGGATTTGGGAGCAGGGAGGGAGCAATTGCAGCAGAGGGATGTGGAGACGGAACTCGTGCTGAGCTGCGGTCAGCCACGCACAGGCACCCAGAGCCTCCGTCTCGGTGCRCAGACATGAAGGTTCCTCTCCTGCTTTCTTTTCCCTCAGCCTCCCTCCCACCACATTGCTGCTCCATTCCCTTCCAGCAGCCTGGCAGGCCTGATCCCGCCTGCACAAAATCCTGTTTCACACTCCTGTGCATTGCTGGAAATAACCACCTGCCATGTGGACGACAGGGAGCCGCTGCACAGCTCCATGAGCATCCTCTCTTGCAGCTTCTCCTCTTCCCTGCGAGGTCCTTCCCAGCCAGCTGAGCTCTGGGGCTGAGCAAACCCCACTCCTTCAAGTATCCTCCCTGTTTTCTTCTCCCTTTTCTAGCACCTGGACTCTTTCYCCTGCTTTCCATACACAGGAAGTTCTTTTAAAAAATAAAACAAAAAATAAAAACCCAACAGAGAATAGCCGGATAAAACTCCTCGTCCTGGTCGTCAAGATGGGGACTGCCTGATGAGAGCGATGGATATCTGGGCACAGCGGACGCCAGCGGCTCCAGAACGACGCCTTGGAGTATTTTTGGTCTATTGTATGGGATTGGAGGCAAAGAGCTGCCTATTCCTGCTCCGTATGACAGCATTTCCTGAACATCAGCAGTTATTAATAGTTACCCAATAAACAGTGAGACTCCTGCCGCTATTTTCCTCCTTTAAAATGATCCACATTTGTGGTCATAAGCGATCCCTTAGGATTTGTCTGTGTCCCTCACCTTTTCCCAGCCTTACTTGGAAATCAGGCGTTTTTTCTGTAGGTTGCAGGTTATCCCATGAAGGGTAGATAGGACAGTTTGCCCTGTGCTCTAAATCTGAGAGGACAGAGAAATCTCTAGCRTGATTTCCTCCTATAGAAAGGTTGAGAAAATCAACATTTGCTAAGGACCTTTGGAGCCCAGACATTCGGCGCCTTGATTTGCATTCAGTGTGAAATCTCGCTACTCAACAGTCTGTGTTTGGTCTAAAAGAAACAAAGTCAATTAAAAATAATAGAGATCCTGTGATACTGCCTTAAAAATAACAAAAAGTTTAAATCAATTGAAATCTTCCATTTAGATAAAATCCAAACATTCCAACCTGATTCTGCCATTCTCTCTCTCTCTTCCCCCCCCCATCTTCATTTATCCCTATTAAGCCACTGGAAATGGAGAATTGGAGCAGCTGGTTCAAGCTGCCGCAACATGAATTTYGTCACTGTCAGTCATGTCTAGAGGCAAATATGAGCAGTCCTGTGAGTAGCCAGGTTCTTCCCACCACAGAGAACATCTCCTGCCTTGACCATGGGATTTCTCTCTGAACTGGCCCATCCAGTTGCAGGGAGCCTCTTTTGTCTTCTGTAACTTGGATTTTGGGGAAAAGTCTTGTGCTAGAGGTAAAAGTTGCCCAGTAAGAGTATGGGCAACAGCTGAGGAGCTCTCTGAATGTCTGCCAAGGTTAGCTTAATCTGGCAAGAAGCACCACCGGGCAATTTTGCTTGCTTCTTGCTTTAGAAACTATTGACATTTTCTTACAAGATCAAAAACAGAATTGCAGAGGTTTGAAAATATTAGAGGAGGGTGTCAGCTGAGTCCCCAGATTCAGCTCAGCTCCTTGCATTGCCCAGGTGGATCATGTCTCGTAGCATGTGCTCCCCTTTAAAATCAGACCAGGAGCTCATTTAACAAATGTGGGAGATGGCCTCTATATGCAAATGATCCATACAGATGCAAATTATTGCATTAAACAGTTTGCAGGGAATTTATTATATAGAGCTGGACGTTTCTTGCAGGCAACAACGTTCTTGGCTTGGTTTTTACACCTTTCATTTGCCTTTTGCAAGGTGGTAAGTTTGAGATCAGCTCCCTGCCCACCAGCAAAGCTGGGTGGTAGTGACTGTATTGAGCACCTTGAGGTGACATTCCCCAGGAACACATAAGGACAGAGGTGTCTCCACTGGTTAGAAAGACAATCTGAGGGCTGAGGGAGGCAGGTTAAGGGTGGCTTCCACCACGACCTTGTCTGCCAAAGTCTACTGGGGTCACCAGGGTGACAGTGCACTGGTTTGSACTTAATGAAGCTCAGTGAAACTATCTTTTTCCTTTCATCCCTTCACCCGTCTCCTACAGACATCTTTGGCTCTGTGGTCTATTTTTAGATGTGAGGAATTAATACCTTTATTTGCATTTTACCTTAACTTGGCCTGAGATAAGACTGATTTCAAGGTAATTGGATAACGACAAGACTTTCATCACCCAGGGCTGTGGCAAGTCTCTGCACCTGGGTCACAGCAGAGGCTATAAAAAGCACCCCTGGCTCATAAAGCTGCTCTCTAGGTAACTGGGGAGAAGAAAGCAAGGAGGAGGCTCCAGGGAAAGGCAGGCAGCTAGCTAGGCAGCCTTTTTGGAAAGGATTTTGTGGGCTAGGCAATTTGCTTCRGCTGAGAGTGTTGCAGGCTTTTTGGTGAGAATCATGAAGATCTTTCACCTTGGGAAACCAAGTCACAGGTAGTGATTTCGCTTTTTCTGTTTTCCAAAAGTTTTCTCTAATAACATCAGCTAGGCATGTGATGATTTCCTTATGTGGCTCTCCAAGCTACAGTGGGTTCTCTTTTTAATATATATTTTTTTTATTTCTAGAGCTAAATAAATTATATCTAATGGAATATAGAGGAAAGAGTGTTCTTTGAACAGTTCCTTATCTGATGTCCTTCTATGCTGCTGCAGTAAAAGCATTTCAATAAAAGCAGCTGAGGGAAAGATGGCTAAAGCAAGAGTGCAGCTCTTGGCCAGAAACTGTCTGTATCTCCTTCCCCTCTGCCCTAGGTGATATATTAGGAAGCTGCTGTCAGGGAATAGGTAGCAAAAAAGCTATTTTTTCCTTTGTGCATTTATAACCTGAGAGCATTCAGGGTGCCTGAACAGCTTTGAGGTAGTTTTCTACCTTCCTTCTTCAGAGAGTGGAAGTCTCCTCTTGTGGCTCCAGGGCCATAGGGCTCTGGGTGGAAATTCAGATTTGGGGACACTTCAGTAGTAGAAAAGAGTTGGAGCCGAAGGAACCCCCACAGAGCCACTAAGAAGCTGCAGGCCTCTAGCAATTTAAGCTAGTTCAGTTAAAGATGAAAGTGTGTGTGTGTGGGTGGGGGAGAGGGAGCAGAGACAATACCCTAAATTCAAAGAGCAGAAGCAGAGACCTCAAGGTTGTTCCTGCCAAGAGTTTCAGCTGTTTCTGCCTGCAAGCATCTGGCCTAGAGGAGCAGGAGGATAAATTTAAGTGACTTATCTCGGTTGCTTGGTGTGTTCCAGGAAGCACGTGGTGCATCTGCATTAGAAGACTACAGAGGCATGCACCTAGACCCTGGTTCTATCCACTATGAGATGCTTTTACGCACAGGAGCTGTGCTTTTTGTTCACTTGCTTTACCAGGTAAGATTTCTGATCCCAAACTTTCAATCTTCCTTGGCTTTCTACAGCCACCTTAAAGAAATTGTAATCATGTCCTCAAATTTCTCTGTAACCTGTTGCTGTCTCTGCCTCTCCTAAAAGATAATACGGGTTGCATATAGTGTTTGGGCAGAAAACTTGATAAATAGTGAAATCCTGGACTGTTATTTCTGGAGGCATTTGAAGAGCCTCTCTTTCTCCCAATTTCCCCAGGGAGTGCACGTGCTCACCCGGGAGCATAGCAGGGAGCAGGCTTATAACAAGATCATCTCTCCACATGGGATGTTTTTGCCATCTGGAAATGCAGTCCCACAAGCTGGAGYAGACCCTAGTTCCAAACATAATGTCAGCATTTAATAATTGTTATAAATTAATAACAGCCTCATTAATAATTTTTYGTTATTCTTGGCTTCTCAAGAGCTCCCTGAGGCATTGAATGAGCCACTGAACTATTTTATGCTGTGATTCCAAAGAGGCACAAATATTTAGGAGGCCAAGAGAATGAGTCTTGTGTGCAGAGAAGCTGYGGTCCTGTGTCACAGTGTCTGGAGAGCTGCTATAGCTACAGCCTGGGCATGCTGCAGCCAAAGCTCCTGGTGGTGTTGGTGGAGCTTTTGCCATGGGAAGCAGTCARCTCCTCCTGATGGGTAGATCTGTGCTAACACCCAAGGCAGCAAGCTAAAAATGACTAGTCTAAAATTTATCCATCCTTTTTAAAGGGGGGAAAGGAGAGGAAATGTTTCCTTTCCAGACTTGCTTTGTTTGTATTTTCATGCCTCTCCTGTGACACAACATGCCCTGCCAAGAATGGATGAGTTGGGTGAAGCATCATGCAGCAGGGGAGCAGGTACCTTGAGGAATAAGGGTTTACAGACCCTTATCACCAATTTGGAGCTATTTAAGCTAGATAGCAAATATTAGAAGAACTGGGTATAAACTGGGGGACTCTGCTTGTGCAGACAGAAAYTCTATGAGATGTGAGAAGTTTTTCCTGACCTGGAATGGTCAGGAAATGAACCTTACTGAATGTTGCTTTTCCCTGCAAACACAAAGAAAAGCAATCCAGTTCAGCTGAAAGATTTTGCTTTGATAATTTTGAAACGTCTCAAATCATAATTCCTTTTAAAAACATATGATAATTAAATTGAGCTATAAAATGATTTGTCATTTTGAAATCTTGTCATCCTTGAAAATGACAAACTGCACCATTTCAAGTCATTTGGAGAAATGTCTCTAAAATATTCAGGTTAAAGAAGTAAGTGAAGTAGCTCTTTAAAAATATTGGTTATGCTATGTTGAATATTAATTTTGTGATGAGAAGGAAATCTGTTTTTTGACACTTGTGGTGAAGAAGACAARGCATTGTGATCCTACAGCAAGGAAGGGAGCTGAGGTGTGTGAGGCAACCTTTGCAACCAAGGAGCATGACTTCCAATAAACCTGGAGCAGATATTGAAAGTGAGCGGAGGATAGCCAAGAACCTGATTTTTTTGACTATTTAACCCATTAAAAATACAGGAAAAAAGTAAAAGTAGGGGGAAGGGAAGCTTTTAGCATCTTTCATGAAYGTCTCACCAGGCTTTGTGACAATTACTGAGCAGGTAATGAAGACAGAGCAGAGGTATTGATTTGCAGCTTGGCAAGAACGAAAGAAATAGCTGTTTTTTTCTCCTCTGTAGATTAGTGCAAGCAAATAGCTCTGTTAATAATGAAATCTGCCTTGATGCACCTGACATAGCATGTCTTCTGCTGGGAGGAGGTGGTCAGCTGAGAACAGGCAGTTTTTCCTTATCCCCAGCCCCAAATAGTCAAGACTATCCCCCATAAGAAGCACAGCTGAGGCTGTTGGATCAAATGTTTTTTTATGAAGAAATCTCTCTGTGAAATCCCTCTTGGACTGTTTTGGGATGTGATATTCTTTCTGGGGAGCTAATGACACGACTGACCAGGAATGAAACCACAGAGGTGTCTGGAATGGAAAGGAGGTGTCAGTGTCAGCAGATTTTATTCTTCACTGGAAGTTCATGTTGTTACCTAAGAAATTTTTGCTTGTTAAAATGCAAATTATCCCCCTGAGCCTGGGTAGCCAGTAAGCCGTGTTATCCCTCATTTACAGCAAGGGGGTCAAGAGAGGCTGGGAAATGACCTTGCTGAGCCATGACATAAGGCTGCAGGTGTAGTAGGTGTAGACCTGCCCAGCCTGGAAGAAGAGTATTTTGCCAAGCTCCTTTCCAGATGGGCTAGCCACATGAATAAAATCACGACATCGCTTTGCCCACCAGTTCTTGAGCTCTATATTCAGTCACCAAAGAGATTTGTGGTTAGGTGCTTTGGACAGCTTTGCATGTCCTCTCTGGTGCCGATGGTGAGAATGGGGTGGGGGGCAAAAAAAAAAAAAAAAAAAAAAAAAAAAAAAAAAAAAAATAAAAAAAAACAAAAAACAAAAAACAAAAAAAAAACCCCAAAGCTGAGGTTGCTTCAAGAGAAGCTAGAAAAGGTTTGACTCTGAGGAAGCTTTAAGGGAGCAGGCTTTGGCAGGAGTCTACTGCTCAAGGTGCTTCAGACATCAGTCCAAAGACCTCAGACATATTTTTCTTCATTGATGCCCYGGCTCTTTCCCTTGGAGATGAAGCTGGCAGTGAATACTTAACAGATATGTCATGACTGGCAGAGCAGAGGGGAGCATTACAGGAGGTGAGATGCTGAGGTTTCAGGCTGGCTAGAGAGGAGAGTAATTTAGTGGGAGATAAATATACATGTATAAGTTTGTGGCCGGCAGAGAAGAGGGTACTTAAGTGGGAGTTGATCTCTTGATGTTTTTGGTGGATAGAGAAGAGAATAACTTAAAGGAGAAGACTCGTGGACTGGTTCTTTTTAGTTACAGACTTGATAGTATGTTCCTTTTTTAACTTCAGGGCTGTCTTCCCCAGATGGCTCTTTCGTTTGCTATTTCAGATGCTTGATTAAAGAGTAGGGTACTTTTTTGAGGATGCTGAATAGCTCCAGGGCTTGGGAAAGTGGGAACAGAGACTTTCTCTAACTCGTGGAGCTGGCAGTCCCTTTAGTGGTGTCAGCAAGCACTGCCAGCCTGAGATCTTATCCTCTGGGAGTCTGCTGCTCAAAACCCAACAGTGCCTTAAAAAATCATTAAAACTCTGCCTTAAAAGCTCAAATGTGAAACTAGCCTTAGCAGAAGAGGCTAGGCTAGATCATTTGACCACCATAACCTTATCTAATTCTCGYAAAGATTATCTTTGGAACCTCTTCTCTGGATCTGTCTAATGCTCTGTTCTCCACTGGAGTGAGAATTTCATCTGTTTCAAGTGTCTCAGCATTTTGGATGTATTTTTCCAATTGCAGGACAGATGAAGACCTGCACATTCCTAGAAAGCACTGACTTACAGGTTGATCCTCTGTCTAACCAGATAAGGGGAGATTTCCTTGTAGCTGGGGTATTTAAAGTGTTTCCCTCCCCTGTGAATATGAAGGGCTCAGCCTTTATGGCAGATTTCCCTCAGAATTGTCTTATGGCTTATTTCCGCAAAGCCTGTAGAAAAATGATACCTTTGAGACCTCTTATGAATTTCAAATAGGATTGAAGTCAGCCTGTGGGTTTACAAGTTCACCAGGACAGATAGAAGCAATAGGAGCATTTAAGGTGACTATGTGCCCTGTTTCCAGGGGTGAGGAAAATTCAATGGAGTCTTGAATAGTCTTCCAGCTTTTATATCCCAGACAAAGTTCGAGATGAGTATGGATGATACTTCTGGTAGAATTTTAATCCAGCAGGCCCTGATCCACCTGGTGTTTATGGTGCTGCTTGAAAATACTGAAGATCTTTCCCTCCTTTCCCAGGGGAATAAACCATTGCTGAGATGTCTCTAAAGTGCTCTACAGGTCAGCCCAGGACATGGTGACTCTTTGCACCATCACTGGATTCTGGAGATTCATGAGTTTGCTGCTCTCTTCCTAGCTGCACTCCTATCATCTGGTACTGATTGCCCCTTAGGAAAGATGCTTCCATCCATGGCTACAGTTAGGGATTAATAAATCCTATCCATTTCTACAGTAGCTCGTATAAGAGGATCCTAATTTCTTGAGGTTTCAAGATGCTTCTGTCATATTACTAGTGTTTAGGCTAGATCTCTATTTTCCTAAGTAATAATATCCCTYGTACTTAATTTCTGAGCATCCCACCAAAGTTCATTTTCAGTAATGTTCTCCTACTTTATCAGAGAGCTCCCATTTATATACATCTCCTCCACACCTAATAACCACAAGAATAACTAACAGGAAGTGCTTGAAACATRTCTTAATTAGTCTGACATTAGCAGGCTCCAATATCTTTAGTTAATTGATAGTTTTTAATGTGATTGAAACCTAGAGAAAAATGAGGGAATGATTTATCTGCCTTCACCAGAGGSTGAACAAACTCTGCTCGTATCTCTCCTGGGGCAAGGGTATTTGACTCAACAGTAATTTGCTCSAGAGAGAAGAACAAAGCCTTGAAGAGCAAGTGAAGGAGCACCCTGAACTGTCCCCCATCTAGCCTGCATTAGGTGTKACTAAATATAAAATACATTAATGTTCAGCTGATGGATAGAGGCTCTATAGAGCTAGTATCTACAAAAAAGCAACCATGTTCTCCAAAGGCAAGATGTGTAACACAATGGGGATGCAACTCACCCACATCTTTTAACATTTCTTTATCTATGCATTGCTCTTCTGTCTGTTGTTCCTTGCAAGCCCTGAAGTACTCAATGGAGATGGATACRTGTTGCTCTAGAGGCTCTAGGGCTTGAAGGGCCATCAAGGGCTTTAAGATTTCTAGGGCTTGATCAAGTCCTTGTTGGAGGTAACGAGAATGTGTTCATTCCAACAAAAGCTGGAGAGGAGGACCTACCCTCAG